AGTTGTATATATATATATATATATATATATATATGTTAAAAACACCATTTCTGATGTTGGTATTCTACATTATCAAGAACTGATTACTAAATCATCATCGAACACCATTCTGAACACAACTGAACTGTCAATTGCAATGTATATACTTTTAGGGGGGAGGCAATTTGATTTTTCTGATGTTTTGTCCCTCTGTTTTTTTTCTTCAGAAATACCAAACCTTGATTAAATTATAAGTCATTTCTTGTGATTATTATTATTATACTTGAAAATGATAGAAAACAAAGTATTATCACAGAACAAGTTTATAGTTCTTCATGCTAACGTGATTATTCTAATCAATATGCTTCTAAGATGCTGATATTTATTACTTGTGTAATAAATCTAATTCACTAGAATCGCTTGAATGACGACATCCTTCTGATGAAAGCTAATTCACTAGAATCGCTTGCATGACGATATCCTTCTGATGAAAGCTAATTCACTAGAATCGCTTGCATGACGATATCTTCTGATGAACTTCTTCTCGTATACATAGTTGTGCTTCCTTGGTTTCATATTTTTTGAAGAGTTGATTTTTTTAAAGAAAATGTGTTTCAGTTTCAAGTCAAGCAGTGGATTATTTGTTTGTTTTACTCGTAGGTATCCAGCTGGGTTCGTCTACATATTCCTTGTGCTATACTACCTTACTGGTCGTGGAACTAATATCCATGTGGCACAGTATGTTTTTGCATTATTATATCTTCTGACACTGCTTTTAGTTTTCAGGATATACGCAAAGTGTAAGAAAGTGAGTATTGTAGGTTTATAAGTGAAGTTATTAAATGTTAACTGTAGATATTCCTCTCACTAATTATTTCATGTAATAACATGATTATAAGACTTTAACTATTTCACTCTTTGTCTGGTCAATACAAAGTTTAGAAGAATTTATGGAGTTAATGCCAAGAAGGTATTTCGGACAGAATCATCAAGTTGGTTAAATTTTAATATCCAAAGCGTTAGTTACTGTGCTGTTTATTCAATGTCTGTGGTTGTTAAGAATTATAGAAAACAACTTTTAATGTTATTTTATTATTTATAAATACTGAGAGCAGTTTTTCCCATTGCAATTAGTGTGGAGATAGGGAGTTAACATTTAGAGAAAATATCTTTCAGTTTTATTTCTGGAGTTTGGCTCATACTTTGGAAAATGAAAAAGATTTGATGAATCGATCTTTAAATAAATGCCTAGATGTTAAAAAAAGGTGCCAGGAATACTGCTAAACTAACAAAAATCGATCTGTTTCCAACTGTTCAAATAAGTTCCAGACACTAGTTATTTTCTGATGGATGAAGTTGTCAGATATTTTATCAGGCAGGAAAATGTCATGATAAAGATGAACTTGGTAAAACAAGCAACAATTGTTGAAATAACTTGGTCACCTTAAAAATGTTGTCTTGTTCCTCAAACTGTATTACAAGGCCATGATATGTAGATCTCCAAGTGTAGATAATGCATGTAGTAACTTTACTTTTTTCATTATGTTTACTTCATTGAAAGAATTGTATAATAATTTTCCATAACATGAATTACTGTTTGTAAGAAGTGGAAGTGTTACACATCAAACTTTGGAAAGAAGTTTAATCATTTTTGACTACGGAGTAGTTTCTCATTATTAAAAAAAGAAAAGAGAAAAAAATAATTCGGTATTGTTGGATATTTGTCCAATGATCCTTGAAGTTTGTTCACAAACTGACTGGTAAATATAAATTTGATATTTTATTTGTGAAAAGGTGAATTTCAGATTATCTGTTTTGGTGTTTTGTAGTAAGACATATTATTTGTTATTTTGTTTAACAAACACTAAACGTTACCTTGGTTACACATACGTTACACATATGTATGTTACTGTAACGATGGTAAGGTTAAATGTAAAATATGTATGTTACTGTAACCATGCTAAGGTTAAATGTGAAATATGTATGTTACTGTAACCATGCTAAGGTTAAATGTAAAATATGTATGTTACTGTAACCATGCTAAGGTTAAATGTAAAATATGTATGTTACTGTAACCATGCTAAGGTTAAATGTAAAATATGTACGTTACTGTAACTGTGCTAAGGTTAAATGTAAAATATGTACGTTACTGTAACTGTGCTAAGGTTAAATGTAAAATATGTATGTTATTGTAACCATGCTAAGGTTAAATGTAAAATATGTATGTTACTGTAACCATGCTAAGGTTAAATGTAAAATATGTATGTTACTGTAACCATGCTAAGGTTAAATGTAAAATATGTAT